AAAAAATATTTGTTGTTTGTCTCAATAAATTGGGTTAATTTAAAAATGCAGTGGTTAAATTCAAAAAATTTTTTCTATTGCTCTTTGTTTTAAAAAAAATGCTATAAAAAATGTCAATAATTATCGATACCGAACTAAATGAAACATTATATTGTTAATAAATTTTGTAGCTATATCGCCCAGCCCTACTAATGAGTAAATATCATTTATGCCTTGGCATACATTTACATTTTACTATTACTGTACAGCATATGAAGGACAATTTTTGTCCTTTTCAGAGTTTCATACACCATTATCTACAAGAATGTGTTTACAAACACTGTACACACATTTTTACAAGCATCTATCAAAAATAATTGTTGTTGGGTTTCCATAGTATATGGGGCATTTTTTGCATTTCCACACACACAAAAAAACAAGCTGTTTTCCTCATGGGGACCAACGCACGGTATTTTAAGTCAAGTGCTAAACGCGAGTCGGGTTCAGTATTAAAGCCGTTCGCCTCACTGCTGAATGCTGCTAAACTACGCGAAGACAAATCCAAAAAGGCCTGCGCGGTGCACATTAGCAGCTAAGCTAACAAAGTGAATGGTAGCGTATTTAAAAACAAAGCGCTGGGTTTCATCATTCACGCAACACACACAGTTCTTACCTAGGGTTGAAATCTTGAAAAACGCCTCGGAGATTCATGGTTTCCTCTTCAGACCATAGTTAGATGAAGTGAAAAGGGAAGGCTGGCTAACTGACTGGCACTCACTTCAGAGCGGACAGTTGGCAGACGCGACCAAACGCGGTGACGTCACACGCTGTTTACATCAGCGCTTATCATGAAAACAAACGTTTATTAATTTCTAGGTCACTATAGAGAAATGAATTTCTGCAATCTAATAAAAATTGTATTTTTATGCAATCAATGCATTATAAAGCTGCGTAACGAAGAGTCATACAGGCTTGCTGAAGAAAATGTTAAAAATGCAATTATTTTTAATTTCATCAGGAGAAAATGTCTTTCAGAAAACACACAGTTCAGGGTAGTAGAACCTATCCTGACCAAATACTTCACATTTCACATTCAAACTCTATAACATCTGTCTACTGTTATGATATCTTTACAATGAAGCAATGCAGCTCATTATAGCTAGAAAAGAACAACATGCAAGCAGAAGATTAACATTTAGGAAGAATATATATATATATATTAATGCCCAGTATATATTGACACAATGCTATTTACACTATTAGATAAATCTTATAAAAAAAGAGGAAAATAGAGAAAAGTTTATGACTATTGCTCACTTTATGCTTGGAGTTGTTTTCCTTCCAGTGTCACATCTAGCAACGTGAGAGGGTGGACTTTAAGGGACATAAACTAATTTAATGGTTTTACATAACTTGTAATTCACGTCAAAGAGAATAAGTACATGTGCATACTAATAGTCATAATTGCTCATTTGAAAGTGTATATGTAACCTTTGTTTCAAAGAGAAGTTGAGAAAACAGGATTAGGGACATGGGAAATTGTTAAGTGCTTTATTATTATTATTTTTAGGTATTAATCATGATTTTCTGTTAATGGGGTACATCTATGTGGCATTAAAGTTGATTAACATTGTATGTAAAATCTGAAGTATTGTTTCATGGGGACATAAAATCCACCAAACTGTAGGAATGAGCCTGAACCACTTCACATACACCATTGTTAAAGTGCAAGGGTTAAACTTCATATAAAACACCTTTTTGCAATCACAAAAACTTTAACGTGTAATTCCAATAATTTAAATAAAATAAAAAGGTGGTGATGTGGGCTGCTACACAAACGATAACATGAGTGAGTGCAGAATAGGCAATAAAAAGATCCTTCCAAACACACAAACAAGATGCACATGAAAGGTCTATTTACATTAATATACACAAAAATATTTTAAAATTCAGTCACAGCATGTATGATTACAATTTAAAGCGTGGTTACACATAATCAGTAACTGTAAGAACAATCATCAGCTAATGCTAGATTTAAAAAAAATCGTTTTTAATGAGCTTTCACATTTTTATATTAGTGCACAAGCTCCAGCTGATTAGATGCGAAAGGTAAGACTCCACTGACGTAATACGCAATGCCGAGTGAGAGCAGAGCAATGACGAGGAGCAGCAAGAGCACTCGCCAGAAACCAAGATCTTCCACAAACTCCTGCCATGTAGTGCGGAAGCTGGACAGCACGCCATCGCTGTGATGCAGGTGTGGGTTGAGAAGAGAGTGGCTCTCCATGGCACTGCAGGAGATACAGCAGCCGGTAATGAGTAAAAACACTTATGAAGGCCAATTCAAAGACACCTCTGCAAGGAAAAAAACATTGGGATTATAAAAAATAGGTAATGGCAATCATCTCACCTTTCATTCTCAGCCATGTGCATCTTCTCCAGACTGGAATGGGAGCTGCGGTTGAAGCCCTTCACTTCCTGTTCCTCCAGCCCCTCCAGCAGATGGAGCGCGTCTTTATTCACACCGCGTCTCTTGGCCAGCACCAGCGGAGTGGCTCCATTGTGATTACTGTTCAGATCAAAAAGCACGGACATGAAGCGGTCAGATTTTTTGTGGTGACTAAAGGTTAATTCATGAATCTTCATCGCTGTGCATTGGAACTGGCCCTGTAATACGAGTACTGTTAGTCAGGGGTTTTCAAACTGGGGTCCGGGGCCCTCAGGAGACCACAAAGAGGTGCCAAGGGGTCAGCAGAAAAAAAAAGAGAGTGAAGAAAGAAATACAAAAACAACACTAAAATACAATAAATAAATGTTCATCATTTTCAGAATGTGATATTATGCTTAAAGACTTGCCAGAAATCCTGAGATCAGTTCTTTCCAATTAATATTGTACACATTATTATTTTTCACATTTACACCACTATTTAATTTTTTTATGTTTTTTAAATGTTAAAAAAACTCTTACGGTCACCAAGACTGCATTTGATCAAAAATACAAACAAGTAAATATTGTGAAATATTATTACATTTCAAAATAACTGTTTCTATGTGAATATGTTGTAAAATGGGATTTATTCCTGTGATGGCAAAGCTGTATTTTCAGCATCATTACTCCAGTCTTCAGTGTCACATGATCTTCAGAAATCAGTCTAATATGCTGATTTGCTGCTCAAGAAACATTACTGATTATTATCAATGTTGAAAACAGTTTTGTGTAAAAACAAAAAACAAACAGCATTTATATGAAATCTTTTGTAACATTATAAATGTCTGTACAGTCCCTTTTGACCAATTTGCTGAAAATAAATATTAATTTAATTTCTTTAAAAATATATTTTCTATCTACCTTTATATTTTATGTGATCATTGTATTTTGGGGTCTGTGCCATTGAAAAGTTTGAAAACCACTGCAGAATTCCTATACTTCCATCTGTTATTTCATAGTTTTGATTTTTCTAAAATGTGAAAAAACGTAATAAAATATATGTAAGTGTCATGACATTTTTGACTAGTCCATGGAATAGCACGTGAATGCCATGGTATATGAGTATGGTAATTCAGTATCATTATATATAGTCACTGTACCATGGTACCCGTCACAAGATCATAAAGACACTGACCAGATGTCAATCTTGAGGCCGTTGGACACCAGGAACTGGATGGTGTCTACATGGCCACACATATGCAGTGCTGTGTTGCCCTGTGAGTCAGTGGCCAACAGATCAGCACCAAACTTATGCAGCAAAGAGCAGATCTCCACGTTTCCCCGAGCAGCAGCCAGATGCAATCCGGTCCGTCCACGGCAGTCCCGGGTGTTTGGGTCGAATCCGGACTCCAGGAGCTGTTTAGTGTGAGCGAGATCCCCGTCGATACAGGCCTGCAGCAGTGGCACGGTGGTCTGCAGGGAGTCGTTGATGAAGACGTAGGACATTTTGCACCTGATATCTGAGATCTGGAGATAAAAATCACATTTGGAACAGCTGACATGACACATCACAATGCCATAATTAAAAAACTACTTCTCTAATTTCTTTATAATCATTATGCAGTCCCCATATTAATAGAACATCTGTATTTTTACAAATTCATTTCTCACACCACACAGCCATTAATTAACTGTAAATAGCTGCTTAAAAAAGGCTAAAAACACAGTTACAGCATCTAAAGTACACCTCAAATCTCTGTTAGCATGCATTTATAATGAATGATTTATGCACCAACCATAGGTTAAAGCTTCAAAAACTGTAAACGTTTATTAAATAAAGGTTATTAAATTATGCTGGAAATATCATTTAGATTACATGACAACTAAACTTCACGAATGATTACTACTGTAGCTAGCGGACTAGCTTGGTCAAGCAAGTATGTTAATCAACAAAACACACGACTGTAAGCAATAACACCATCTAATAACTTCCTTTATAATACTACAGAAGGTAAATCAATACCTCGGAGTGATATCTTGAAAGTATCTTATAAAATCCGCTGCTTTCCCAGCCTCTATTGTGGGAAAATAGAAATGAAATGACGTACAAATATGGAGGGTCAATAGACTACAAGCCCCAGTGCATGTTATTATGATAAAAAAAAAATATATATATTAGACTTCCGCGTCTCAACCTCAAAATCTGGTCAGTGTAGTTTTTCTGGCGCCGTTGACTATTAGAACGACTCAGACATGGACTGCGTTACCCACAATGCACCGCGATGTATTTGTATCCGATGACGGCCGAGGATGGAGGCAGGTAGGGAATTTATGGTTTAAAATATGAAATTGATCAGCGATTTATCGATTCGTTCGGCTAACAACGTTCAGGCGATGTTTTAAGTTAGAAAAGCGTCGATAAAAGTCTACTGAGATCTGCTAGGGATTCATACCGAGGACATTTCGTAACTGAGTTTCAAGTTTTCTCATTGTTCTTCAGTGGCCTGTGCATCTCTCACTTGTAAAGACAAATCGTTCGTCTGCTTCACTAGTCGTTGTTGTTGTTGTGGTTCAGATGACCAAAGTTATTATTACTCTGTATGTTGGCACTGGCACTAACAAAAAAATTACCATGTTTGTGGACTTATACCATGTTATGTACCATGGAATTCAAGTACCTTATAGTACCCAGTAAATACATGGCATATAAATATGTCGTTTTATTATATGCAAGAGCCATGGTATTAGCATCTGAGGCCATCCCATTGTTTTTGTGAGAGATGTTTATGTCAGAAGTACCTCTGCTTGTCTTCCTAATTATGAAGTGCAGCTATGTGTTGTTTTATCAGGATTTCACTGTGACTGTGTCACAACACTAACGTGTCAACAATTATTCAAGTTCTAGCCAAGTATGAGAATCAAATCAACCTATTCTCCGAGTTCCTAGAAGACCTGCCGGATGTAGACGAGCCAGTATGGATCTTGGGAGCATGTTAACGTGGCAAAGGGATCTCATTATAATATTACCGCCCCTTAATCTGTAAGTTTCCACCCACTTGATTTCGCAAGCGACAACGGTGTACCAGCTCTAATGCCATGGCGAAAGTTTGAGCAAAACATGCTAACTGTTCTGTCTTTGGCTGCACAGACGAGCACAGAACACTGTTTAGAGTCACAGCCTCAGAGGAGACAACAGAGCAGTGGATTTATTGATTTATTTACTGTATAGGGCTGCTGCTGCCACACAGATCTAAAATAAACAAGCGATTTATTTCCCAGCTGTTTACCTTCACAGACATAACTGACTGTTTTTGTAACTCGTGTGTTTTTAACGTAAACTTGTGTGTGAATGAGAACTTAGTTTAGTACTCGCATGCTGTGACAGCCGCTTTCTGTGCGTGTGCTTCGGATGTGTGCGCTCAGAAAACCCTATATCTGAAGTTTAAACTCATCAAGGAAAATCAAACTCAAAACGTGAAAAAGATTAACCCAATCACTTTGTTTTGGTAAGCCTTTTTCTGCAAGCGTCTGAGAAAACGAGGGTGTCAGATTTCGCTCCCTTGGTGACGCTCCCTTGATCGGAGTATTTTGAGCTGAAACTTCACAGACACATTCTGGGGACACCAGAGACTTATATTACATATTGTAAAAAGGGACATAATATGTCATCTTTAAAACAAGTAAGACAGGCCACATATCCATAATGTAGTGGCATTTTGCTTTCAGAATTAATTAGCTATATCAACACATTCACTCTTATTAAATTGCATTTTGCCTAATTACATCTGTATCGGCATCAGCCATCAAACGCCTTATCAGTTAACCACTTAAGATATTAAATCTGGGTTTCACTCATCCTTGTTACAGTGTAATTATACACAAGTACTGAGTACTATTAATGAACAAAATATAGTTACCATAGGGTTCGGATTAGTTGTTTCTAACTATGTATCATTTACTGTTATAACACTTTCTTCTGCTCACCAAGGCTGCATTTATTTGATCAGAATACAGTAAATACATGTGAAATATTTTTACAATTTAAAACGATAATTTTCTGTTTGAATATACTGTATGATATATTCCTGTGATCAAAGCAGAATTTTCAGCATCATTACTCCAGTCTTCAGTGTCACATGATCCTTCAGAAATCATTCTAATATGCTGATTTGCTGCTCAAGAAACATTACTGATTATTATCAACGATCATCTTCCAGAGAAATCGGAGCTGCTCTCGGATGTGCGGTCACGACTGTGGTTCACATATAGGAAAAAGTTTTCTCCCATAGGTAAGTGGCAGGGAAACTAGTCTAACTAAATGGAGTGGAGCTGACTTCTGTCTTGATTAGAGGATGCTTAGTGTGCTGAGGTGGGTGTTTGTCTGTGGTTTGCAGGAGGAACAGGCCCTTCATCAGACGCGGGCTGGGGCTGCATGCTCCGCTGTGGACAGATGATCCTCGCGCAGGCTTTGGTCTGCAGGCACCTCGGTCGAGGTAAGCAAACGTGGAAGCTTCTTACCGATGACGAGTGTGTGGAATAGCTGCTACCATACTACTCATACTATACTACACTGAATTCACAGTATTTCTGTATTTGGCAAAATGTAAAAGTGTGATTGTTGATCTAGAAATGAAATCCAAACCAAGGAGTAGGGTGAAAACTAAAGGCCAGTGAAAGAATATTCCTATCACTTTTTTGAACCAACATATCGTTAAAAAAAATTATATATTCCAAGCTATTTTAGAGTTTGTCCTGAACATCATTGAAATCACCTACCAAAACATCATCAGTATACCTATACCAGAAAGGAGTGGATTGACATCTTTATTAACCACAAAACATTTTTCAAAAACATTCTTTAAATGTTTGCTCAAAAGTTTTATAGACTGAGAAGACTTGGAGAATAATCAGATAGTATGCAACAGGCATTCTTTAAATGGATAGTTCACTTGTTGGACTGGAGTGGTGTGGATTACTTGTGGATTATTGTGATGTTTTTATCAGCTGTTTGGACTCTCATTCTGACGGCACCCATTCACTGCAGAGCATCCATTGCTGAGCAAGTGATGCAATGCTACATTTCAACAAATCTGTTCCCATGAAGAAACATTTGGATGGCCTGTGGGTTAGTAAAAATTAAGCAAATTTTCATTTTTGGCTGAACTACTTCTTTAACAGAAAAAAAGATGAGAGGATGTTGATTGTAATTGTCAAGCTCTATAAAGTGCCATAAAATAGTCCATATAATTTGTGCTCTTTACACTCCAGTTCTTCTGAAGACAATCAAGAGCTTTGTGTGAGAAACAGAGAAATTTAAGTCGGTATTCTTTTGATTCTTTCACACCTTGAGAAGCGCCGTTTTAAATTAGTAGTTCCCAGAAAAGCGTTAATCTGTCATCATTACTCACCCTCCGAACCATACAACTTGTGGAGCACAAAAAAAGATGTTTTGAAGAAGATCACACAGCTGTATTCCATATAATGAAAGCATGTAGTCACAAGGGGTTGTCAAGCCCAGAAAGCACCATTTAAATCTCAAAGTTTGAACACGACATTTTGGTTGAACTAACAGCAAATGTACGTTGTCTTGCAGGAAACTTGCTCTGTTTGATGACTGGAATACTATGACTGTGTATGTGTCAATGGACAACACCGTTGTTATTGAAGACATCAGTAAGTGTCTTTTTCTGATTAGTCATTTCAAGTCACATTTATTTATATAGTGCTTTATACAATACTGATTGTTTCAAAGCAGCTTCATAGTAATAAACAGGAAAATAACAGTGTTAATATTCATCAATGAATATAAACGTACTGTAGTACATTTTGAGGAATAAATTGAGTTGAACACAATACGTCAATATGGTCTCAAAATGTAAATGTTTTGTTTTAGCAACACTTCAAAATACAACTTCCAACAGATCTAACTTTTTAATTAATTTTACAAAGGAACAAAGGCTTATGGCTTAAATAGCTCTACTCCAAATATGGAAATAACTTTTACTGTACCTTCTGGTTACACTGCAAAAAAGTGATTTTATTCCTTGTTTTTGTTTTGTTTTCAGTGCCAGTGTCTAAAGATTGTTCAATCAAGATACATTTACTTGAAAAGCAAAATGACATAAGGCATAAGAACAAATTTCTGGCAATGGGCTCAGAAAAATCTACTTAATTCAAAGGGAAAACGAGTTTTCATTCCGCATTGACAGATATTTGTTCTTGTTTTAGCATAAACTCACTTAATTTTGCTCAAATTTTTAAGAAAACAAGACTTCATATGTTCTATTTGCATCTCAAGTAAATGTATGTTGATTTAAGGATGTTAGATATTTGTATTGGAAAACAAAACAAAAATACTAAGGAAGATATTAATTTCTTTTTTTAAGTGCATGCAACATTGTGGCATGACTTTATGAATGTAAGACTTTCTGCTTTGGTTTAAGACTTTTTTAGGCCTTAATTTGTGGAAGGATGTATAGGACCCTGTATAAAGCAGCTCTACAATAGTCTCATTATTCATCTCAAGTCAGTTCAATGTTGATTCACTTTAGTTTAATAACAGTATCAGTTTTGCGAAGCTTATCAATTATGAAAAGAGTTCAAATAGTGTCACATTCAGTCCAACTTTTGTTCTTGTCCGATAGTGTCAGAGCAATTAAAGGAATAGTTCACCCAAAAATGAAAATTTGAAGGAAGATATTAATTTCTTTTTTTAAGTGCATGCAACATTGTGGCATGACTTTATGAATGTAAGACTTTCTGCTTTGGTTTAAGACTTTTTTAGGCCTTAATTTGTGGAAGGATGTATAGGACCCTGTATAAAGCAGCTCTACAATAGTGTCGTTATTCATCTCAAGTCAGTTCAATGTTGATTCACTTTAGTTTAATAACAGTGTCAGTGTTGCGAAGCTTATCAATTATGAAAAGAGTTCAAATAGTGTCACATTCAGTCCAACTTTTGTTCTTGTCCGATAGTGTCAGAGCAATTAAAGGAATAGTTCACCCAAAAATGAAAATGTGATGTTTATCTGCTTACCCCCAGGGCATCCAAGATGTAGGTGACTGTTTCTTCAGTAGAACACAAACGAAGATTTTTAACTCAAACCGTTGCAGTCTGTCAGTCATATAATGGCAGTCAATGGGCTCCACGGCTTTGAGAGTCAAAAAAACATACACAGACAAAACTAAATTAAACCCTGCGGCTCGTGACGATACATTGAGGTCTTAAGACATGAAACGATCGGTCTGTGCAAGAAACTGAACAGTATTTATATCATTTGTTACCTCTGATCCACCGCAATGTCCAACTGTCCTGAGTGCGTTCACGACATCCGGCGCGTGGCGTCAAATAAATACGGTCGGGCAAAAAATTCCACGTCGTCTGATGATATATCAAAATCGTCTTCCATTGTGATGACCTGTACTTCTAAATATCTTTAGATCATCGCAGTGCCAGTGAACACGTCCGCAATCTGCAGAGCACTGTGTAAATAAGTGACGTATACGCGCGACAGATCGCTTCTGCACATGCGTCTACTATCATAGATATGTATAGATGCCCTATTCGACTGCTCCAGATACGTTGACGCGTCCGCCATTTTGGAAGTTATCGCAGCCCATAGAAACAGTCACTAATCATCTACTTACTTATATATATCTATGTCTACTATGCCAGAGCACGTACACGCGTTACGTGCCAGATGTTTTTGGACATTGCAGTGAATCGTGCAGTGAATTGCACAGACCGATCGTTTCTTGTCTTAAGACCTCAATGTATCGTCACGAGCCGCAGGGTTTAATTTGGTTTTGTTTGTGTATGTTTTTTTACTCTCAAAAAGCCGTGGAGCCCATTCACTTCCATTATATAACTGACAGACTGCAACGGTTTGAGTTAAAAATCTCCGTTTGTGTTCTACTGAAGAAACAAAGTCACCTACATCTTGGATGCCCTGTGGGTAAGCAGATAAACATCAAATTTTCATTTTTGGGTGAACTATCCCTTTATGTCAATAATATTACTGAACATTAAGTGTCTTTTAAACCTCAACTAAGCAAGCCAAATGCAACAGTGGCAAGGAACCCGTAAATGGAGAAAAAAACTCAAGTTCTCCTCTGGCCTGACTTCATTAGAGCTGAAGGAAGTTTAAACAGGATGAATATTATTTCTCACTTCCAACCTTCTTGATGTTCTCGCCTCTTTCCTCTGGACCAGAGAAACAGTGTAAGCAGCCAGGCCGGGAAAGCAGGTCCAGGGCTGGCCCCTGTGGCCGAGGAGAAGTGCCAGCGTCGGGCCAGAGCTGTTCAGAGGCTCAGGGAAGGGCACTTCAGTCCCAAAGGCCCCTGGACTGGAGGCCCCTGCTGCTGGTCATTCCTCTTCGAATGGGCATTAACAGCATCAACCCCGTGTACATTCAGGCCTTCAAAGTACGACACTTTTCTTTGACTGAAGAGTCTATTATCTTTCTTACTTAGGTAGTTTTTCATGTATCATACACACACACACATACGTTTCATCTTCTTTTACTAGGAGTGTTTTAAGATGCCTCAGTCATGTGGTGTTTTGGGAGGAAAGCCCAACCTGGCCTATTATTTCATTGGATTTATCGGTGAGTTTTCTCAGTCTAATTTGTTGGCGCTTACAGAGTTTGGGGTAATAAAATGGCATGCTCAATACATATGCATGATCCAACATGTTCCCCATAGAAAATGAATTGATCGAAGGAATCAGCGCAATGCTTTATCCTGGAAATGTGTTCTCAAGGCATTCTCATTTTTGCTTTTTCAGATGATGAGTTGATCTATTTGGACCCTCACACTACGCAGCAGGCTGTGGACACTGAATCAGGCAGTGCTGTGGACGACCAGAGCTATCACTGTCAGAGGACCCCACACCGCATGAAAATCACTAGCCTGGATCCATCTGTTGCACTGGTGAGAGCTCAAACCACGTCACTGCCAAAAGAGAAGTTCATTCACGCTATTTTAAATCACTTGACAGCACTAGAATATACACTGCCTGGCCAAAAAAAAGTCACCATCTGGATTTAAATAAGCAAATACTTTTGCTTAAGGTTTTAGGATTGAATCATTATTGCAGTTATTAATATGTCCATGAAACCATTTTTTTTAAAGGGGTGGTTCATTGCGATTTCACTTTTTTAACGTTAGTTAGTGTCTAATGTTGCTGTTTGAGCATAAACAATATCTGCAAAGTTACGAAGCTGAAAGTTCAATGCAAACGGAGATAGCGCCTTTTAAAATTCTGGCAGTTTAATGCCCACAAAAACGGCTGGTAGGGACTACATCGAGTTACTTCCTGGGTTCGTGACGTAACAAACCCAGATAAACCCCGCCCTCGGGAAAAGGCAGCAAAGGGGGCAAGGCCTGCGCTGCTTTAGAGAAGAGGAAGAGAAAACTAGAGGTGCACGTAAAAATCTATTCATATATGAATCACGATTCTGTCTTCTAACGATTCTAATGGATTCACAAGTTTCAAAATCAATGTTCCAAAACAGTGGTTCTTAATACTGTTCCTCGCGTCGCCCTGCTCTGCTCTGCACTCTCTCTCTCTCTCTCTCTCTCAGCTCAGCTCATTAAAAGCCGTGCTTGTACAGGTTCTGCATGATCCTCTTCAATAATATCCTCTGCTTCTCAATCAGGCTCAAGCTGATAAGCGATATTAACGACGCCTTGTTTACGATACAACCGGAGCACATGCTGCTGAGGAGAGGGGCATGTGCTCCTCTCCTCATGCCTAGAAAAAAAAAACAGTGAACCACCCCCTTTAACTCTAAGGGGCTGTTCACACAGAATGCGTTTTTCCATTCCAGTGCACTACTTTTCCATTGTTTTTCTATGTAAACACGCACTAGATGAATGTGTATGACCGTTGTGCTTGTGTCTTTTGCAGCGTCTCACACATTAGCGCCGCGTTTTTAAGACAGTGTGTCAAGTTAAAAGAATTGTAACTTTTACACACAGTGCCGTTCATCAGTGTCAGTTCCAAAACAGTGGACCAATCAGAAGAGCCCGGAGGCGGGGCAAGCGTTGCAAGCTTTTGTTTACAGTAGCAAGGGTTTCATTTCATGGATCAGTAAAGGTGAATGTTTGTCCCTAGGGCTTTTTCTGCAAGAGTGAGGAGGACTTTGACAGCTGGTGTGATCTGGTTCAGCAGGTTAGACTCTGGCATGCATGCAGAACCGATCAAGAACATGATTTACCAGCTTGCTTTCCTTAGTTTTAACTTGCTCGCATTATTTCACTCTGACTTTAAGGAGCTCCTCAAGAAAAGAAATTTGCGGATGTTCGAGCTGGTAGAGAAACACCCCTCTCATTGGCCTCCGTTCGTCCCTCCCACCAAACCAGAGGTGCAGACCACAGGAGCAGGTACTGCAGGATAAGAGCCGTAGCATTGTGTGCTAGAATTTTGAATAACACTTTCTATGAAGCCTGTATTTATAATGCATTATCTGGATATTCTTAATGCATGCATAATACCTTATTTAAAAAACCCTAATGATGTGTTCGCAAAGACATGACACATTACAATAAGAGTACAACGATGAACGCATTATATACAAGTTACAATGGATTATAGTTCCCATAGTTATAATGTATACAAGTCTCATATCTTGAAGTGTCACATCATTTTACCTTAAAGGAATAGTTCACCCAAAAATGAAGAATTGCTGAAAATGTCCTCACCCTCAGGCCATCCAAGACGTAGATGAGTTTGTTTCTTCATCAGATTTGGAGAAATGTAGCATTGCATCAGTGTCTCAGCAATGGATGCTCTGCAGTGAATGGGTGCCGTCGACTGGTAAAGGGGATGTTTCCTTTCCTTATTACAGTGGGTTAATTATTTCACCCACCCCTGCACATCTGTAAATATGGCTTCAAATGATGATATTTAAATAAGTTTAGCGCGTTTATAATTGGTCCTATCAATTTTTTAAAAAGAAATAAACTGTAAAGCTACAAGTTACAATTACAAGTTACAATTACATAACATCTGGAGAAGCCAAAAGCTGCCTGTTTGTAAGAAACAAATCCATCATTAAGATGTTTTTAACTTCAAACCGTTGCTAAAATATGAGTCCATAATCCATAATAACATTTCCTCCAGTGAAAAAGTCCATCTCCTGTTTTGGCTTATAAACGGTTCTTGATCTGTGCAGATTTTTCTCCTGATTCAGACCAAACTACTTTTTCACTGGAGGAAGCGTTATTATGGAGAGAGGACTCGTATTTTAGCAATGGTCAACATCTTAATGATTCATTTGTTTCTTACAAACAGTTTTTCACTGTACAAGATGTTAATTGTTGGACTGGAGTGGTGTGGATTACTAGTGATTATTTACAAGAATATTGTATTTGTGATTTCACTTTACACAGTAAAACACACTTGTGAAATGCAGTGAGATACTAATATGAGATTTATAATGTATCATAACTGTCGTTACGATTATTCATGATCATAATACAACATATTATAAGGGATTTTCTAAGGCATCATGTGTGCATTATAGTGCATAATACATAACAAATACAGGCTTCATAGAAAACTGTGCAAGATAACTGTATTTGTTTCATAACCTAAAAATAATTTCTACCTTCTGTGCTCATTCTTCTAGAGTTCATCGAGTCCCCAGACAAGCTTTTTGAGTCAGAAGAGGAGTTTGAGATCCTAAATGTGTGATCAGTCCACGGATGATGGGATGTCAGTAGCCTTCCTCTGCTCCACACTGCACAAGTGCCTCCGATCAACACCAAGCACACGCTTCCCATACGCAAAAAACAACAGCAGAAATCCCTTTCAGTGAGCTCGTTCTGTGGTGAACAGGAAAATAACAAGCCAAGGATCCCGTAGCAACTTTGTGTGAGGCTTAGCCTCATTCAGAGGTCGTGTAAGAGACTGTGTTTTTAACTATGGAAACAAACCGAGAACTTGAGTTTGCATGAACTTCATCGTACTGTATCATGGAGAGGTGAAGGCTTTCATGAGGATGATATCTTTACAACCTCAACACACTCTACCTCCTGACTGCAGGAGATGGATAGTATGCAGACATCTTTAATTCAGTGTTATTCAAGGAAAAAAAAGACAACCGTATTGGTTAAAAAAAAGTGCCTCTCTTTTTGACACATTTATGTTTCTGACTGGTAAAGGTGGTTTCCTTTCCTTATTACAGTGGGTTAATTATTTCACCCACCCCTGCACATCTGTAAATATGGCTTCAAATGATGATATTTAAATAAGTTTAGCGCGTTTATAATTGGTCCTATCAATTTTTTAAAAAGAAATAAACTGTAAAGCTACAAGTTACAATTACAAGTTACAATTACAAATTACAAGTTCCTATCATTTATTGGTGAATATTGTCCCTTTCATGTCTACACTGTCTTCGTTTGTTTATAAAAGATGACAAATCTGAACACGACTCTCCTTTGGTTTATGTGTGAAATTGTTATGTAATATTAATATGTAACTTATTCAAAGAAAAGATATATTGCCTAAAAAAATACTAAAGAACTAAAGAAATACAGATATATACACTGCCGTTCATAACTTTTGTGTCAGTAAGATTTTAGATTTTTTTTTTTATTCAGCATGGATGCCTTAAATTTGGAAAAAAAAAAAAAAATAGTTTATAATGTTAGAAAAGATTTCGTTTCATCGAAGAATCCTGAAAAAACTGTATCACGGTTTCCACAAAAATATTCGGCAGCACAACTGTTTTCAACATTGATAATAATCAGTAATGTTTCTTGAGCAGCAAATCAGCATATTAGAATGATTTCTGAAGATCATGTGACACTGAAGACTGGAGTAATGATGCTGAAAATACAGCTTTGATCACAGAAATAAATTACACTTTTAACATATATTCAAATATAAAAGTTATTTTAATTTGTAATATTTTACAAAAATGCTACTGTATTTTTGATTAAATAAAGCTTTGGTGAGCATAAGAAACTTACCGACCTCAAACATTTGAACGGTAGTGCATCTTTGTGTTTTAGCTATCTAGCTTTTTTTATTAATAATAATTTAGGAAATGTAACTCGATTTACTAATAGATTATATATAATATTTTTATGGACATGGTTTTTGAATAGGCGGGATGTACAGTATATATCCCATCAATGGACAATTGTTACTTAACTGTAAATATACTCTTTTTGGCCAGCAGAGTGCAGCAGCTATCAACTAAGGTACAGGACAAGTAAGTGGAAAAACTGGGGTCTTAACATGTCCACAGCAATGTTGCATCATACTAGACATGAGAAATCACAAGCACATGACTCAGTCAGGGATACCTTGGCACTTTTTTATTGCAATAGCTCTATTACAAGCAAAACCCAATCTAATAAATATACACGAAAAAAAAAATATATATAAAAATGTAGAAGTGACCAAATAAAAACAAACTAAAAAATCTCAAACATCCTCATCCTTGAAACCAAGCGAGGTGCCGTGTAGCGTGTTGACGAGAGAAGGGATATCAAAAATTACAATATTTACAAAAGGAAGACGGCGCTGATAATGGTCTGCTTCAGTCATTATTATCAACATGTTTCAACCCAATCACAAGCTTTCAGCGTTAAGTGAGTACTGACCAAATGAACAGCAAGTTGTTGACACAGACTTTGCCCATCTCAGATACTTCTTTTTTTTTTTTTTTTTGTCCAGCTCTTCCTTTCAGTCATTTTAAAAAGCAAACAACTCGACACAATATCAGTATCCCCAAAATATAACCTCAGTAGAGCCCCTAGTATAAAAAAAAACAAGTTGATCATTTTTCCAGGCTGTCACGGTAGTTTATTGTGTAGAAAAATCCCCAAGAAACGGTATACTACTGTTTTTTCATTTCACATTTTACATTAAAGCAACGCAATATCATGACACAATAGCATGACAAAAGTTAGTCAAACAAAGAGAGCAAGCAGGCCGCAAGCGGGCCGCTACCAAAACCAATGGGAAAAAGTCACCGACGTATGGTTTCGTCCCAACAGAATCTGGACTACTACTGTAAAGCGTACACATCTTACTACACAGCTTTCAACCACAACCTCAACCCAAAATCTCTTCATATAAAGCTTCCAGGTACAAGCAAAAAAAAGAGACTAGTAACTCTTAGTTAAAAAAGGCTCAAGAGATATGTGGGGAAAACAGGTTGTCTGAAGTTGTATATACACTGAACTCCCCCTCTCAGCAAGCACTATATTCGTACGAATACGCTCACCAGCAAACGGTGAACGCCACTACACTGGATTCAATAAATAAACACAGACGATCAATAAATTAACAAAAACAACAAACAGGATGTACCACGTGGGGAATGCAAAGTAGCACGACGTTATCCTTCAGTACTGTGGCAGTTTGTAAGACTAGTAGTGAAGTGCACATACATAACCACAAGAAGTAGTAAACATCGTCGTTTTGTGACCAGTGGCTACATCGAGGCTCAAAATCACTCCCAGTCTATGTAAACAAGGCTATTTTAAATGAGGACAGAAAAGCCGTGGTCGTGGAAATGATAGTGTTTTGCATCTCGAGTCGGCAATACTTGATATCACACTAATACAGGCGAGGCAGAAAGGATTTTGTGAGCGTTTTCCCAATGGCGTGAACAGGAGGTAGCATCCAGTTGACTCAGAAACACTGTCTCGGCTAAAAGGTGCTCTCATACTTGTTTTGAAGCATGTCGCACTTTTGATTTTGCCCGAGGTTGCATCATTTCTCAGACGCTCTCGCAGGGGGACGTTTTCATGCACCGAAAACACCAAGTGAGATGATTTCATGACTGTACACTAGTGGACTGTGTGAACCCTAACCCTGAAAAAATACTCGGTTTTTACAAACAAAAATGGGCGGAACTAAGTATGGCGAGTGTAAGGAGATGGTCCTCACTGCAGAACACAAGATCCAGGGGGCGTGGTTGGATCCAGATCCAACTCCTCCCACTTTACATATACCTAAACCCCCCCGTCTCCACCCCTTGATCCCTAAACCCACCCATCTCCACCCCTAAAAGCCCACCCGTCTCCACACCTAAACCCACCCGTCTCCACCCCTAAACCCACCCATCTCCACACCTAAACCCACCCATCTCCACCCCTAAATCTACCCATCTCCACCCGATACTAAATGATACTCGATATACAAGCTTCTCCTATTTACATCCGATTTTGCGCGGAGAAACATACACCTGTAACCTAAGAGCTACGATGCGTTTCATATCGTACACACAAAAATAGAAGTGCTAGATATCTGAAGCTCACAGTTCTAATTTAGCGAACCCGCTCTAGTTAACAAGACCGAAGACAAGAAAGAAACAAACCAAACATTATCATTCGGACAAATGAAACCGGTTGTTGAGGCAGTTATGTGGAAAATACAGAGCATAAGAGGTTGTGCAGTTTCTCAGTCTTTGTTGTTGGAGGTCTGAGGAGGAGGAGGAGGCGGCTTGCTCTTCGGCGTTCCAGAGTTCAGTGGATTCTCTGTGTCCTGATTCCCCCACCAGCATTTGACTCACTCAATCTGCAAGGGTGAAGAGATAGAGCGCACGTTATGAAATGCTTAATGTGTTCGATGTTGGCATTCCTGTATCTCAGACAGTAGAGGTCATGGGTTTGATTTCCAGCCCATGCATGCTCAAATGTACAATAGAAGTCCCTTTGGACATCAATCAACTTCATTATCTTTATGAATCAGAGCTCATTTATATATTGAAACCACACAAATCAGTAGTTCTTTGCAGTCTACTATAGTCTTATTAAATGGTTCCAAAAGATAAAACACTTTGTGGTGGATCCAGATTTTTTTTTTTAACCCTTTGGGGGTTTTTTTCAGCAGATGCTGAATCTGATTTTAGAAAAAATATAACCATCAATTAGAAATCAGGATAATGATGATCTGCAGACAACAGTTTTTGTGTTTGTTTTGTTTTTAAAGTGTGTTCCTTACGAAAATTGCAATAATATGCTTTTTTGCTTCACAAATTTGTTCACAAATTAGTGTTCCTAAATTCTTAAATGCAAAAACCTGGGCTGTTATTGATTTTTATAGGTTATTTGATCCAGCACATATATACCTCTCATCTTTTATGATATATCATCTCTTAACCATGAGCTTGAGAGAAAAAACATAACCTTTAACCTTTTCTTATATTCACTGCAAAAAAAGATTTTCTTAGTATTTTTGTCGTTTTCTATAACA